GTATTTAACTTAATCTCCGCCTCTCACCCCTCTTCCCCCTCTCCCCTTTACCCCTCCCTCCTTCCTCTCTCCTCTCCCCTCCTCCGCCCCTCTCTGCGCCTACGGTACCTTAACTACATCTCCCCTCCTCCCCCTCTTCCCCTCTCCCCTTTCCCCCTCTCCTCTTCCCCCTCTCCCCATCTCCCCTCTCCTCGGCTAGCAGCTCATTAACTAATCCTCCGGCCTCTCCCCCTCTTCCCCTGCCCCTTTTCCCCTCTCTCTCCTGCTTCCCTCTCCCCCTCTCCCCCCTCTCTGCTAGGCTATTAACGAATCTCCCCTCTCCCATCTCGAGCCGACAAACGCGCAAGATGCCCGGCGCGTAGCTGCGACGACCTGACCTGCCCTTACTTCCTCTTCACCTCCCCTCCCTTCTCCCCCTCTTCCCCCTCTCTCCCCCTCTCTCTGTTTAGGTATTAACTACATCTCTCGCCCTCTCCCTCTTACAGCTACAACGCACCAGATGCTCTTGGCGCGTTAGCTCGCGGACGACCTACCTGCTCACTCCTCTACCCTCCCCACATCACCCATCTCCCCCTCTCCCTCCCTCCTGCTACGTGATTAAATACATCTTCCCCTCTACCTCTACCCAGCTGACACACGGCACAGATGCGCTGGCGCGGAGCTGCCGACGACCTGACCTGTGCCACCTTCCTCTACCATCCCCCTCTCCCTCTTCCCCTTCTCCCCTCTTCCTTCTCCCCTCCCCCCTCTCTACCTCCCCCTCTCCAGCCTCTCCCCTCTCCCCTCTCCCCCTCCTCTCCCTCCCCCTCTCCCCTCTCCCTGCTAGCAGTATTCAACATAATCTTCCCCTCTCCCTCGACACAGCAGACAAAACGCACAGATGCGGCGCGTAGCGGACGAACCTGACCTGCTACTATCCTTCTACTCCCCCTCTCCCCCTCTTCCCCCTCTCCCCCTCTTGCATCCTTCTCTGCACTCTCCCCTTCCCCTCTCTACCTCCCCCTCTCCCACTCTCCCCCTCTCCCCCTCTCCCCCTCTCTCCTCCCCCTCTCGCCCCTCTCCCTGCTAGGTATACTATCATTCCCTCATCCCTCTCGCCGACAACGCACAGATGCCGGCCACCGCGTAGCTGCGCACGACCCTGACCTGGCTACTTCTTCTACCCTCCCCTCTCCCCCTACTCCCCCTCTTCCCCCTTCCCCCCTCATCCCCTCTCTCCTCCCCCTCTCTTCCTCTCCCCCCCTCCTCTCCCCTTCTCCCCCCTCTTCCCTTTTTTGTTAGCGTATTTAACTAATCTTTCCCCTCTCCGCCCCCCCCCCTCTACAGCCGAAACGCACAGATGCCGGGCCGCGGTAGCTGTGACGGACCTGACCTGACTACTTCCTACCTCCCCTCCTCCCCTCTCCCCCTCTCTCCCTCTCCCGCCCCCACTCCCCTCTCTCCTCCCCCTTCCCCCCCTCTCCCTTCTCCTGTAGCTGCAGTATTAACTACATCTTCCCTTCTCCCCTCTACAGCCTGAAACGCACAGCGATGCCGCGCGCGTAGCGTCGGACGACGCTGGACCTGCTACTCCTCTCCCCTCCCCCTCTACCCCCTCTTCTCCCTCTCCCCTCTCCCCTCTCCCTCTCCTCCTCTCCCCCTTCCTTCCTCTCCCCTCTCTCCCCCCTCCCCCTCTCTCTGCTAGCGTGTATTAACTACAGATTCCCGTCTCCCTTACAGCTGACAACGCCACAGATGCCGGCGCGTAGCTGCCGACGACCCTGACCTGCTACTCCTCTCCTCCCCTCTCCCCTCTCCTCCATCTCCCCCTCTCCTCCTCTCTCCTTCTCCCCTCCCCTCTCTTCTGCTACGGTATTAACTTAATCTTCCCTCTCCTCTACAGCTTGACAACGCACAGATGCCGGCGCGTAGCCTGCGGACGACCTGACCTGCTACTTCCTCTACCTCCCCTTCCCCTCTCCCCTCTTCCTCTCTCCTCTCCCCCTCCCCCCTCCCCTCTCATCTGCTATGGTATTAATTATCTCTCCCTCTTCCCTCTACAGCTGACAACGCAACAGTGCCGGCGCGTAGCTGGCGACGACCTGACCTGCTACTTCCTCTCCCTCCCCCTCCCCCCTCTCCCCCTTCCCTTTCCCCTCTCCACCTCCTCCACCCTCTCCCCATTCTCCCCCTCTTCCCTCTCCCCTCTCCCTGCTAGGATTAACTAATCTTCCCCTCTCCTCTACAAGCCGACACGCACAGATGCCGGCCGCGTTAGCCTGCGACGCACCTGACTGCTACTTCTCTCCCTCCCCCTCGTCCCCTTCTCCCCCTTCCCCCTTTCCCCTATCTCCACCTTCTCCACCCTTCCCCTTCTCCCCCTCTTCCCTCTCCCCCTCTCTCTTGCTAGTATTAACTAATCTCCCCCTCTCCCCCTCTCTCACCTCCCCCTCTCGCCTTGCTAGGTATTTAACTAATCTCCCCTCTCCCTCGTACAGCCGACACGCACAGATTGCCGGGGCGTCAGCTGCGACGACTGACCTTGCTACTTCGGCGGCGTGTGCCAAGGAGCGCGACGCGCGGCCGACGTGCGTCTGTCCGACGGACCTGTGCACGCGCGAGGAGACGTCGATGGTTGTCTGCCGGCTCCGGACGGACAAGCGACGTACGGCCTCCGAGTGTCAGTGCGGTGTTCGCCTGCCGTAACCAGAAGGACATCGTGACGGCGTCGCTCGGGCCCTGCTCGGTTAGTTGAGGGGATGGGGCCCGGGGGGCGTCACTATATCATGGGTAATACGGCATATATAGTGACCCCCCGGCGGTGAGGCGGGAGCAGGTGTTGCGAGAATGTTCGTGATGAGATGTGTGTGAGTGTGTGATGTGTGCGCGAGCGGTGTGGCGTATGTTGATGTGAGATGGTCCGGTGGTGTGTGAAGATGTCTGTGTCTTTTATGTGTGCGAGATGTTGTGAGAGATGTGCTGAGATCGCGTGTGTGAAGATGTGTGAAAATGTATGAGAGGATGATATGTGAGAGATGATATGAGAGATGTTGTGAGATCGTGTGAGAGTTGTGGAAGAGATGTGAGAGATTGTATGAGAGATGTATGAGATGTGAGAGATGTGTGAGAGATGTGAGAGATGTATGAGAAATGTGAGAGATGCTATGAGAGATGTGAGAGATGTGTGTGAAGATGTGAGAGATGTTATGAGAATGTGGTGTGAGAGATGTAATGAGAGATGTTATGAGAGATGTATGCAGAGATGTATAAAGATGTGGAGAGATGGTATGAGGCAGGATGTATGAGAGATGTGATGAAGAGATGTATGAAAGATGCTGAGAGATGTATTGAGCAGATGTAATGAGAGATCGTATGAGAGATGTATTGAGATGTGAGAGATGTGTAGAGATGATGAGAGATGTATGAGATGTTATGAGAGATGTATGAGAGATGGTGTGAGAGATGTGATGAAGAGATGTATGATGAGATGTATGAGGAGATGTATGGAATGTATGAGAGATGTGTGAGAATGTATGTGAGCATGTGAGAGATGTATGAGAGATGTCGCTGAGAAGATGTATGAGATTGTATGAGATGTGAGAGATGTGATGAGAGATGTGTGTGAGCATTGTATGAGAGACTGTGAGACGATGTATGAGAGATGTATGAGAGATGTATGAAGAGATGTATGAGAGATGTGAGAGATGCGGAGAGATGTGTATGAGGTATTTGGAGAGATGTGAGAGATGTAATGAGAGATGTGTGAGAGACTGTATGAGATGTGGAGAGATGTGCAGAGATGTATGAAGAGTGCCTATGAGAGAATGTGTGTGATGATTTGAGAGACTGTGAGAGGATGTATGAGCAGATGGTGCGTGTGAGATGTGTGAGATGTGTGAGATGTGTGAGAGATGTGAGAGATGTATGAGAGATGTGTGAGAGATGTATGAGAGATGTATGAGAGATGTGAGAGATGTATGAGAGATGTGTGAGAGATGTATGAGAGATGTATGAGAGATGTGTGAGATGTATGAGATGTGTATGAGATGTGTCCGATGAGTTACATTGTTGATAACACATAACATCGTCACGTTTCTTGCAGAGCCGACGCTGGCGCCGGACACGACTCAGTCGCCGATGCGTCACACGACGATGCGACGCACGACCGACGGAGCGACGACGCGCGACGGTGCGACGCGCGACGACGGTTACCTGACGACCGGAGCGCCACCGCTGACGACGGCTGCGGCGACGGACGAGCCCGAGAGAGAAGGCGAGCGCGCGCGATTACTTTTAGAGAGCGGTTGATTTATTCGGAGGAAGGGAGGAAGGGAGCGAGGGAGGGAGGGAAGGGACGGTTTTGTTTTAATAAAATTATATAAAATATGATGATTAATAAATAATAATAATATAATAATAAATAAATAAAATATAATCATATATAATGTAATGGAAAGATTTCCGGATTGTGGCGCTTCGGAAGAACAACCGTTTCATTGGGCGTTGATCGTGGGAATTATGGCTCAACGTGGGGCGAGAGGAACCCGTCGATGGAAAAGATGTTGAAAGTGAAATTCATACGTGTGTTTTTGTACATTTCTTAAATGTATTTTTTATATTATTGTTATAATGTAGTTCACTTTATTATTTATTATTTATTTATTATACATCTTTATGGTAAACTCGGTAATGTTAGGTTATCATTTACGTCTCTTTCTGTGGCTTTGTGTAGTTGGCTTGTCGTCATGCACCGAAGCAGTCAACTCTGTTATGCGTGCTGTGTAATTTTTATGCTTGCGTGTAGCTCACTGGGTCGTTGTTTGTCGCTGTGTGCAGGTCTCATCGGATCCGTGTGCTTCAGCAAATACGAATGCCGAGTTCCGCTCGCTGACTGCTACCAGGGGCGCTGCCGCTGCCCGAAGCACTACGCTCCCAGCTCTAACAAGGATGTTTGCATCGGTGAGTTACGCCAGATCTCAGTAATCATGCAGCTTAATTTGCGGCCGAGGAGCGTGCTAGAGTGAATACAAGGAGCTAAATATAACAAGGAGAGGAAGCGCCGCCATATCTGGCCCAAATTTGGGTTCGGCAGAGACCTTAGAACAGATTAGTGTTCTATTGTCTCTGGGTTCGGTCTGCACAGCCGTTTCAGCTCATTATGGTCCATAGATGGCGCCCTTGAGGCAAAAAGCGCATAGCCAATCCGCTTCCTATCCTTATAGTTATATAGTTTTAGTATCATCGCCCGAGTGATTATAGGAAATCCTGCGCGCTGATTGGTCGAGACCTAGGTGAATCTATTTCGATAATCACCTCTAGGGTTTACATTGTAGTGGCGCCAAAAATGGCGGCTAGATTTGTAAATGTTACGGAAGCCGAAATTGACAAATTTAAAGAAAATGCTGTCCCCAAAAATACCAAAGATGTGACAAAATTTGGAGTTAAACTATTTAAAGGTAGGTAGTTAAATTCAAGCTTATTATTTCTTTTTGTTACTCTGATTTCCAACAGATGGCAGGCACTACCTAATTAGAAATCAACAGGGACAGTCTATATTACCCCAGTCGTACATGAACTAAAGAATACAATTCTTTACCATTGATTCGAACGTGAAATTAGGAGTTTTAAGACTCAGGGTAAATTCGGGGCTAAAGTCTGTTCAACAAGGTTTGTTTACCGTTTTCCTAACGGTATATGTTGAGTTTGTTGGGGGCAAAATTTGCCGAAATGCAACAATTTGAGTTACCACAAAATGGTTGCCGACACTTGTTTACATCTAATTTTACAGTATCGGTTTCAATTATCGGTTTCGTTCCTATAATCACTCGGGCAATGATACTAAAACAGTTATTCGCCTTAGGCTCGGTTCGCCTCGCCTTCCGCGAATAACTGTTAAATATTTAGCTCCTTGAGTGAATATAGGTAGCGTAACGTGGGCCTGCATGTAAGCCTAGCCGTCTGTGCAGGGTTACGTTATGCGGTATATATCCCTAGTAGAGAGTGATTGCCTCTTTTTTCTTAGCGCTTGCAGTGTGGTCATCCCGTGCGTGGAACTGGTGTGTGTGTGTGTGTGTGTGTGTGTGTGTGTGTGTGTGTGTGTGTGTGTGTGTGTGTGTGTCTGTGCGTGCGTGCGTGCTTGCGTGCGTGCGTGCGTGCATGTGTTTTCGGTGTGTAATCTCGGGTTATTAGGCCTACTCTGCAATGTTGCCTACTCGAGCCACACGATCTTACAAAAATATCTCATGAGAGTCAACTGGTTATTGCGCGATCCATTACGCAATAGTAATCGATTCAGAAAAGTGTGCATACGCGTGTGTGCGCACGTGCGTGTGTGCGTGATGAAACATTTGAATTTGCTGAACGTGAACAGTTGAATGCACAATTCCCACAGAACCATGGCTCACCGTAGTAGAGCTATGTGTTCATCCATCCCATCGGATGCCGTGTTACTGTTTACATATATATATATACAGACGCATTCATAATCGCGTGCAGGGACTACCAGCCAATGCCAAAAATACATTGTCAACCAGTAGATCGCAGTTTATATCGTGTGTGAGCTTTTGCGTGCGTGCGAGCGTACGTGCGTCTGCGTGGGTGTGTGCGTGCATGCGTGCGTGCGGGCGGGCGTGCGTGCTTGCGTGTACGTTTTTCAGCGCCTGTACTATATAGTGTCGCGTTCTTTGACGTCGCCACGTTTCTACCACGTCTCGTGTCCACTCTTTACACTTGGCGACCGCCGTGTGTGCGTGTGTGTGTGTGTGTGTGCCTACCTATCGTGTGTCGAGAATATCTTATTCTTGTTTGCCGTTTGATGTTGTGAATCTGTCACCGGATGTCGCGGTGTGTATCTGTCGGGTGTCGTTACATCCCCCCACCCACCTGGCAGAGCGGTGTCTCACGCTAGGGGGCAACGTGCGCCTGCATAGGTAGACAAGCTTTAGTGTTCTGTTGTGTGAATCCCCGCGTCTCGCCCACATTAAAGGCAAGCCTTCATGTCGCCCTAACCAATCGATGCGCTTCGTCGTCGTTGTTACTGCTATAAGTGTTGTGTTGTGTTGTGTTGTGTTGTGTTGTGTTGTGTCCCAACTTTTTGTGACAAGTACGTTTCGAGACCTGTTGATGTTGACCTATGGCGTGACCTCTGACCGATGTCGTGACCTCTAACTGACGTCGTGACTTTCGACCACCGTCGTGACCTCTGACTGATATCGTGACCTTTAACCGATGTCGTGACCTCAGACAGATGTGACCTTTGACTGACGTCATGATCTCTGACTGATATTGTGACCTCCGACCGACATTGTGATCTCTGACTAACCTTATGACCTCTGACCTATGCCATGACATATGACCAACATTGTGACCTCTGACCAATGTCGTGACCTTTGACCGACGCCATGACCTTTGACCAATGTCGTGACCTCTGACCTATGACCAACATTGTGACCTTTGACTATGCTCTGACCAATGTCGTGACCTTTGACTGATGTTGCGACCTCTAGCTGCTCCTGTGCTGTGCATGGTTACCTACTGCATGTTGTATTGTCTGTATTACTTTGTAGCCGCGTCTGCTGGTATAGCGAAAGGCGACTCTGTCTGTGGCGGCGACTCCTGCCATCGTGGCGCCACCTGCATGAACGTTAACGCCGAGCACTTCAAATGCATATGTCCGATTGGCAGAGGTGGTGCCACCTGCGACGAAGGTGAGACGTCGTTGCGCTATTGCGCATTGCGCAGACGGCCGCTTGTCGCCAGGGGGCAGCGCTGGGAGGCAGGAGAGAATTGCGGCGTGCTCGGCGGCGATTCTCACACTATCTTCGCAGCGGCAAGGCAGACCGGTGCAGTTTCGTTTCATCTTACAATGAAAAAATTCCTTTTGTTTGCGTAAAAAGATTACCACAAAAATTTACGAATTTTCAGTAAAGTATCACAACAAGATGGCCGAAGCTCTAACATATTACGACGGACCGTTTCGCAAAAAAGTTGATGCAATGTAATTGCGACAGTTGATCTGTCGAAATTATTTAACACTAATGACGAATTTGCGTTTTTGGAACATTTTTAACATTTTGCATAAGCGTGACATAAACTTTTCTTCACGGCGCAGTTAAAAGGGTGAAATCATGTTTTAATCTGCTGGCAAACGTGTAAACTGCACCGGTGACTGACAAGCTGTGCTCTCTGTGCCGAAATGTGCAATAATGCGAGAAGTGAAGAGACCTCGTACGTTTCTTCTGGTCATGGGCTCGCGTTGCTGACTCTCTGACCCTCTGTATACTTACTAATGTGTTTCCCCTTCACCTCCCCTGCTGCTTAGAGCCTTAACCGTTGATTGTATTATGGTTGCGTTCTCACCCGTGTATGTATAGAATATGTATATAATGTAAGTATAGTATATATATGTATGTATATATTATACTTACATTATAATATATACATATATATATATAGATTGTAACCGAACCCCCCAACGTTGGTTTGGTACGTCTGCCGCTTTTGCCTTGTTTCCGACGTTTTGTTCTAGACATACACTCTGTTCTCGCTATGTATGACAACACGCTATCAAACGAATTGACATTAGATTTCATTCCCAAAGACTGTAGGGAATTACAGATTATTGCATATTATCGCATGAAAATGTATACATTGTTTGGTATTCTACAAAAATTATATAGATATGTATATTTATATATTTATTCATTTGTTCAATACGATATATATATATGGCTAGGCAGCCAGTCTTTACTAGTCAAACGAGATGTACTGAACTGGTTTCAAATTCAGTAATCAATGATTGCAATGATTGATTAATGATTGATGATTAATGATTAATGATTGCAATGATGCAATTAATGATTGCAAGCAAGGTACGTTTTTTTTTATATACTTATCACTTTGTATAGGCCGTACATTGTAGTTACCCATACAGAAATTAGTGCACGCAACATTACAAAAGCATATGTTTGAAGGTGACGAGAGGGGAATCTGTTGCATGCCAGTGTATCAGTTGGGGATTCTCTGAATAATTTTCTTGCAGACCATTCATACAATATCCCAGCATTTAGTGGCACTTCGTGGATGAGGTTCAAGCACATGATGGCACATAGTCAGGTGAGTGGCCGTGCCACGGACGTTTCTTTTTGTTTTGTTTTTTGTTTTCCCACAACCAGTCAGTCGCCGTTAACAAGACTGCATTCTTCGTTCACCGCTGCTGCGCTCGTCGACTTTTATTCGCTCATTCTTCTGCTAGAAACATTGTGCAGCAATCGAGCTTGCGCATCTTCTTGGGTTAGCTTCTAGATCGTGTACGTGATCAGTGTACGTAGCTTATATTTACTAGTTACACTCTGTAATATCATGCGTTGCTCGTAGGTTACCATTGAGATAGAATTCAAGCCGCTGTACGAAGATGGAATCATTATCTACAATGGTCAGTCCGTGGATGGCAAGGGAGACTTCATATCGCTTGCCATCCGATCGGGATATTTGGAGTACAGGTATAGAAAGAGAATTCGTACCGAAATGTCAACGCGCAACTTCAGAAGGATTAACGTATTTGATGTCAGGTCTGGATGTTAGGAGAGGGAGGTTGAAAGAGAATTTATTAGAAATATTGGCGTATAATAAAGGGAATTTATTATAATTGTGGTTGACCCACAACTTCAGATAGCTTACATGTTATAACATTACTTTCGGATCTCCAGAATCATTCCCTTGCTGCTGCTACTGAGAATATACAATTGACTCAATGACCATTGATACTAGAATTCATTTAGTGACCCACTCTTCTTAAGATCACCTTTCCCAGTGATCCATCTTGCTCCTTGTTACCATCCCTCCTCAGTCACCACCTTCCTTGTTAGCATCCTTCCTTGGACACCCACCTTCCCCTCGTTACCGTCCCTCCCTCAGTCACCCACCTTCCCCTCGTTACCGTTCCTCCCTCGGCCACCCCTTCCCCTCGTTACCGTCCCTCCCTCAGTCACCCACCTTCCCCCTCGTTACCGTCCCTCCCTCAGTCACCCACCTTCCCCCTCGTTACCGTCCCTCCCTCGGACACCCACCTTCCCCCTCGTTACCATCCTTCCTTCGGTGAGGGTACCTCCTCTGTTAACATTCATCACGCTATCAATCGATGTCCGTCTCGTCACGCTATCGATGACGTCTCGTCACGCTATCGATGACGTCTCGTCACGCTATCGATGACGTTCGTCACGCTATCGCTGACCGTTTCGTCACGCTATCGATGACGTCTCGTCACGCTAAGCGATGACGTCTCGTCAGCTATCGATGACGTCTGCTCACGCTACTCGATGACGTTCGTCAGTCTATCGATGACGTCTCGTCACGCTATCGGTGAGTCTCGTCACGCTAATCGGTGACGTCTCGTCACGCTATCGATGACGTCTCGTCACGCTATCGGTGACGTCTCGTCACGCTATCGATGACGTCTCGTCACGCTATCGATGACGTCTGCGTCACGCTATCGGTGACGTCTCGTCACGCTAACGATGACGTCTCGTCACGCTATCGATGACGTCTCGTCACGCTATCGATGACGTCTCGTCACGCTATCGTGACGTCTCGTCACGCTATCGATGACGTCTCGTCACGCTATCGATGACGTCTCGTCACGCTATCGATGACGTCTCGTCACGCTATCGATGACGTCTCGTCACGCTATCGATGACGTCTCGTCACGCTATCGATGACGTCTCGTCACGCTATCGATGACGTATCGTCACGCTATCGATGACGTCTCGTCACGCTATCGTGACGTCTCGTCAGCTATCGATGACGTTCGTCACGCTATCGGTGACGTCTCGTCACGCTATCGATGACGTATCGTCACGCTATCGATGACGTCTCGTCACGCTATCGGTGACGTCTCGTCACGCTATCGGTGACGTCTCGTCACGCTATCGGGACGTCTCGTCACGCTATCGATGACGTCTCGTCACGCTATCGGTGACGTCTCGTCACGCTATCGATGACGTCTCGTCACGCTATCGATGACGTCTCGTCACGCTATCGATGACGTATCGTCACGCTATCACTGATGTTTCGTCACGCTATCAATGACGTCTTCGTAGGTTCGACTGGGCGACGGAGCCGTCGTCATCAAGTCGGAAACCCCGCATCGAGCTGCGGCGTTTCTACTTCGTCACGCTGAGCCGCTTCAACCAGGATGGTCGCATGAAGATAGAGGGCGTGGGGAGGTGAGCGGACGCAGCGAGGGCAAGCTGAAGTCACTCGACGTCAAGCGTCCGATGTTCCTCGGCAACGTGCCGCAAGCTACGCCCGGTAGGTGCTAGAGAGAGAGGGGGAGAGAGAGAGAGAGAAGGGGGAGGGAGGGAGAGAGAGAGAGAGAGAGAGAGGGGGAGAGAGAGAAGGGAGAGAGAGAGAGAGGGGAAGGAGAGAGTGACGTCAAGCGTCTGATGATCCTCGGCAATGTGTCGCAAGCTACGCCCGGGTAGGTGCTAGAGAGAGAGAGAGAAGGGGGAGGGAGGGAGAGAGAGAGAGAGGGGGAGAGAGAGAGAGAGGGGAAGGAGAGAGTGACGTCAAGCGTCTGATGTTCCTCGGCAACGTGCCGCAAGCTACGCCCGGGTAGGTGGTAGAGAGAGAGGGGGAGAGAGAGAGAGAGAAGGGGGAGGGAGGGATAGAGAGCTAGAGAGAGGGGGAGAGGAAGAGAGAGCGAGAGAGCGAGAGAGCGAGAGAAAGAGAGAGAGTGAGAGAGCGAGAAAGAGCTGGATGGAGGGAGAGGATGAGAAAGCGCTTGGTAGAGATAGCGAGAAAGAGATAGAGAGGGAGAGAAGAGGGGAGAGAGAGGTGATGGAGAGAGAAAATGAGCTAAACGTACCATACTTTACCGCTGAGTCTTACATTGGAATTACGCCGCAGGTGATGAATCAAAACTCACATGACCTGCTGCCACTCACTATCTACAAGAATATCAACGCGAACTCTCCATCGTAGTAACTCGGCATAGAGTGGAATTACCTGCGCGCAGCTGTGTCTGAGACGAGGGTTATCGCACGAGATTGAAACCCTGTCATTTGTATCGCATGGCCGTCGCCTAAAAGCGGCCACACGCGCGCGCGCACGCACGCACGCACGCACTCACGCACTCACACACACACACACACAACACATTACGCCGCCGCCGCGGCTTATTCCGCAACGCCGAAGGCGACGAGAGTCGTGTCCGCGAAAACACAAATTGATCCACTCTGCTCATCACGTAATCATCAGGGGCGAGTTAGGCGCGGACGCCGGGGGCACACGGGCGTATGATGTAGTAACGCTCGGCCACGGGTTGTCACAACAGCAGCTGCGCGTCGCGCGAACCTAGGATATAATAGGCCAGTGGTTGTTAGGATCCGCGTCGGGTGCGTAACGAAGCGAAATGATCTAAAGCACCCAATGTATATTATGCATTAACACCGGAATGGCAGTGTGTGGTAGGACCTCTGCTCGTGTGTGTTCGTCCGGAGTGCGTGCGTGTGTGCATCAGTATATGTGTGAGTGTGTTTGCCCGCGAGTGCGTGCGTGCGTGTGTGCATCTGTATATGCGTGCGTGTGTGCATCAGTATATGCGTCAGTGTGTGTGCCCGCGAGTGCGTGTGTGCGTGGTCGCGAGTGCGTGCGTGCGTGCGTGCGTGCGTGCGTGCGTGTGCGTGCGTGCGTGCCGTGCGTGCGTGCGTGTGTAACAAGGAATGCATGTGTGTAGTCAATATAGCGTGTAAGTGTAGTCCATAATGATAAGCATGTGATATATATATATTATATATAGCAGGCCCGTAGCCAGGGGGGGTTCGGGGGGTTCGAACGAACCCCCCCCCGAGCCCCTCCCCCCCAAGCAAAAAAAATTTTTTTGGAAGATTTGCTAGAATTTCACCTCAGGTCGCTCCATTTTAGTGTAATAATTGCAAAATCTCCATCGTGCGGAGGGTGAACAGTGAACACCCCCTCCCACACCCTCCCCGCTCGGTCGCTTGGCTCCCTCGCCTGGTTGCTTCGCGCCCGAGCAGGGGCGTGTACAGGGGGGGGTCCAGGAGTCGCGACCCCCCCTTGCTCGCGCAGAAACGCATCTGAGGGGGTGTAATTTTAAAAAATTTCTGGGGGAGGGCCCCCCCAGACCCCCCCTTCGCGTGCTCGCAACTATGGGTTACGGTTAGACCCCCTGTTACAAATCCTGTACACGCCCCTGCCGAGCAAATTGTCAACATTGAAAAACGAACCCCCCCAATAGAAAGCTGGCTACGGGCCTGTATAGAGAGAGAGAGAGAGAGAGAGAGAGAGGAAAGTGAGAGGAGAGAAGAGACATCGCATTTCCTCCTTATATATATATATATATATTGCTATGCATGCATGCACGTATCAATTTGTCTCCCCCCTTCCTCCCTCCCCTGATATACTGTCATTAGTCGACCTGTGTGCTATGATGGGTTTCTCTCCCTACAGGGTCATGGAAAACATGGGTGTTAGCCTTGGGCTGGTTGGCTGCATACAGTCGCTCAAGATAAACAGTAAGGAGTACGATCTTGTCTACCCAGGATCGCTGGATATTGAAGATGGAGCTGAAATAGGTGTGTATATTCTCTAGCAAGCTCATCTTTTGCGGCTACATATGCTATTAGCATAACAATCAAGAGATAACGGAGTAGGTTGGGTGAGTGTGCGTCGTAAGCGTAGACATACTACAGAGTTCCGCATCACCTTATATGCCAGTTGCGACTCACTTCTCGTGATATGAAACACGTCTGTTGTTGTCCCAGAAAGGACCAGAATTAGTTAGAAGATTGAATAGTGCTTGAGGGTGACAAATAATCTATTGTAGGTAGTTGCACAGTTGATAGATAGTATCACAAGTGGTAGATTCGGGGATATACTACACGTAGTCCTTTCCTATAGCAGCGTAGCATATCTTCAGCTGTAATATCTGTTGGGTAGTAAGACCGTGTAGGCAGTAAGACTGCCCCAACCAGGTCGTTATTTTCAGTTGCCAACCTCTGCGAGTTGGGTTTTTAGCTCACCTTGACATCGTCAAGCTGAGCTATTGCCATGGGTCGTCGTCCGTCGTACGTCCATCCGTCCGTCAACATTTGGCTACGGTCAACGATAACTCAGGAACCGTTTGACCCACATGTTTGAAATTGGGTATAGTTGTTACTGCTATGCTCCCATATTAAACGTCCTATTTTGGAGCACGCCAGTCGACGTACTTTCGAGCCACGGCAATTTTTTTGCCAAAAACGGGAATTGCCATTAGTCAGTTGAGGTTTAACGGATTTTGCTCATTTTTGGTATGTGAATGAATAAGGGCTAGGGGTTTTGATATTTAAAAAAAAATTATGCAAATTAGGTAGGAATTGGCAATTATATAGCATATTATATAGACACGCAGATAACAAACAGTCTGTGGTGTCACATTCGTCTGGTTCATTTGACAAGATTTCATTGACAATATCTTTAATGCAAAATTACTACTTTCTCTTCCTCTCTCTCCTCTCTTGATCACACTTACTCGCTCTCTCTCTCGCACTTTCTCCCATTTCACTCAGCACCTTCCCCCCCCCTCTACATCTCGCTCTCTCTCTCTCTCAACACTGACCGCCCTCTCACCCCTCTTCTTCTGTGCATTTCAGCGTGCGGATGCTCCAAGTTCGGCTCGGTGCGTGACGACTGCGAGCAGATGACAGGTCGCTGCGTCTGCCGTACGGGCGTCTCCGGTAACAAATGCAACTCGTGCACCAACGACGGAGAGATGCTCGGGCCGAATGGCTGTGCCGCAGGTAAGTTACAGGCGCGTGCATGCGTCACTTGTCACATGTCTTGTGGATGGCACCTTGTCACACTGTTACATATGCTGTGGATGGGGACGACGATGTCTCATTGTTATGTATGTTGTGGATGGGGGGGGGCCATGTCTCATTGTCACTTACTCTACCCACTACGCTAATCTTACCTCTCTCCCTCTCCGCGTGCGCAGCCGACAACGCACAGATGCCGGCGCATAGCTGCGACGACCTGACCTGCTACTTCCTCTACTCTCTCTCTCTCTCTCTCTCTCTCTCTCTCTCCCTCTCTCTCTCTCTCTCTCGCTCTCTCTCTCTCTCTCTCTCTCTCTCCTCTCCTCTCCTTTTCTCTCTCTCTACCTTCTCTTCCATAATACGCTCTCTGTCTACCCAAACCTCTACGCCACACCGAATCTACTCAAGCATCCATGCACCTATACTCTATCCTCTCTCACGCGCGCCTCACACGCACAGTGTGTCCTTCTTTACATCGGCATCTCGCTAATTCAATAACGGCGCTAGCACGTGGGGACAAATCGGTGAACCTTCTAAAATTTTCAGTGACTGCGTGCATCATCGTCTTCACATGCGACACTGAGCGAGCTTGAGCTGCATATATAGCACCGCGAAGATAATATTTGTGGAAAAATGTTATTTTTTTTTAGTTGTGTAAATTTCTTTGAAGTTTCTCGCGGGCAGCTGGTGGGAGAGATTGCGCGGCAATACTAGTTAATATATGCGCAGATCAATTCCGTGTGCATCGAAATTAGTAGAAGCTGTAACTTGATTACTGTCATCAGTATGCACGCACGTACATGTGGAGATGTACGGATGTGCTTCCCTAGACCCTTCCCGCACCCACACACGCACAGACACACGAGCATGCACTCACGTATACCCGCACATACACGCACAGACGCGCGCACGTACGCACGCACAAACACACAGACACGCACGCACGCACATACACAGACATGCATGCACGCACGCACTCACGCACAGACACGCACAGACACACAGACACGCACGCACTCACGGACGCGCACGCGCGCGCGTAGCAATCCACACATTACACTCGACGCTTTTCAATCACACTCCACGAAATCGGACGCAGCATATTTATCGTCGTCGTCGCCTCGCCGATTTCTACGACGCGCTCGCTCGCCGACGGCCGACGCCGCCGCCGCCGCCGACGACGCCGACGACGACCGGTAGATTAATACTAGCTATCGAGATTAATGACTCGTGCAAAGCCGCGCAATGAGAGAGAAGCGCACGGCCGCCGCTGCTGCCGCTGGCGCTACTGGTGCTGCTACTGCTGCTACTGCTGCTGCCGCTGCTGCTACTGATGCTGCTACCGCTGCTGCTGCTGCTTCTGCTGTTGCTGCTGCTGTTGCTGCTACTACTACTACTACTACTACTGCTGCTGCTGCTGCTGCTGCTGCTGCTGCTGCTGCTGCTGCTGCTACTACTACTACTACTACTACTACTACTACTACTACTACTACTACTACTACTACTACAGCTGCTGATGCTAGTGGTAGTGGTGTCGCTCCTGCTACTGCT